AACTGTGATGAAAGTAGTTTTCTAAATCAAAATTCGGAGACACAACCTTTTTAAATAGGGCCAACAAATGTCCATGCTTGGTGTTTGCCAACAGCTAATACAATCTCTGGTTTTCTGCCCACCCCCAAATCAAATACTGCAGAAAAAGGCATCAAGGTGGTACATGCAGAACAGAGGTGACAGTTGTGACAACCTTGTGCACTGAGACAACTGGGGGGGGCAGCGTCCCAGTGAGAGGTGGGCAAGGGGCTCCCAGCCTCCAGGATGGCTGATCTGAAGAAGAGAAGACAGAGGCTCTGTGCTGTGGTTAAGCTGGAGTTTCAGGTATCTCCTCCCTTCCTTTGGGCATCAAATATCCTCACAGGGATTACTGATCATTCATAGTTCCCCCAGGAAAAGGCCTTGCTTTTCTGGCCAGAATTTTAAAATGAACTTCCTTTAAAAAGATTTCATTATTTGTAATGCTATTTTTTAAAAAGACTAATCACTGACAATGAGAAGAGTTTAAAATAGAATTTTAGGCTTTCAGATTTTAATGGCCCTAGCAAAACTCCATTGTTAACTCAGAAGCAGCTGCACATGTCTAAAAAATCACTTTGAGATTTGGCAGAGTTTCTTAAGAAACTCGAAGCTCAGCAAAAAATTAAATAAAATTATCCTTGAAAATTTCCCAAATGCTCAGGAACTAACTGCCAAGGGAATCTTGTCCATTCAATTAGTTGTGCAACACTAGCTTTCTAACAGCAAATCTAGGGAAGTGACAATGTAAATAGTGTGTGGACACACAAAGCGGAAGCTACCTGTCACCACAGCTACCAGACAGCCCTGAAGTCAGGGACCTGATTGCCTCTCTTTTTATCTTCTTTCAAACGTGATATTCAGTGTGCTGGCATTCAGGAGCTCCCACTCCCGGTTTCACAATGGAACCTCCAGGGAACCACACGCAGGTCACACCACAGATAGACAAACCAGCATGGGGGTGGGGATGGCATCAGGATGTGCCCTCACTCCCCGGGTGACTGTCACGTACAGCCAGAGTTGGGTACCACAGAGGCCGACAGTGACATTCAGTAGATCAGAGAGAAAAGATAATGTAAGCGCATCTCCAAGAGCTCGATTTGACATCCGTTCTCTGACAGCAAGCAGCGACAAGCCAGGAATGGACTTCAAGGGCCAGAGAGCTGTGCTACTGTATCTTGAAAGTCAACAGGTTTATATTCCATCAATGCTCGAGAAACTTAAAGTTCCTAAATAGGAAAGTATAGGAACCTGGTCCTAAAAGGGGTCCTCAGCCTGAGGCTGGGGTGAGGTCTAGTGGAATCCCCAAGAAGAATTCTGTTTAGGTCACGCTGTCCTGGAGTCTGACGACAGCAGCAGCAGCAAGTATTCCTGCAGCTACAAAGGCTCCTTATCGAGCATTTAATCCTCATGACAAACCTGTGGGCAAATATCTTTATCCCTTTCCTGCAGGCAAGGAAACTGGGGCTCAGAGATGCTGGGTGATGTGCCTAACACTCCAGTTCAAAATCCAAGTCACCAAACTCAACTGCAGCCAACTCTTGAGAAGGGTCACAGTGCCCACCGGCCCAGCCCCTGCCTTCTGTGGGCTTATGCCATCGGCCGTTATTAATGGCTTCCAATACTCCCCTCCCCTCTTTCTACATTGGGCTCAGCCATCAGGGAGGCTTCTCACACTGTCACTTAAATCCTTCATGTCTGGGGGGAAACAGTCCCAACGCATCCAGGACCCAACCCAAAACGACAGTCAGTGGCGTTAATATCCTGAAGCCGTGTGGACAGTCAGGAGCCCCAGGGAGCAGCCCCTCCTTCCCTAGAGAGAAGACAGGGCAGGGCCAGGGTGGAAGGTGTATGGTGAGTCTTACATACCCAGGGAGGATGCTGGCGCTGGCAATGCCTACACTTCACTGTCTGCAAACAGGTGACAGAGATCAGACCTACGGTGTGCAGGCGGTAGGTAAGTCAGCCACGGTTTGCTGGTGAGGAGGCCCACATGGGCCACAGTGAACCCCTCTCCCCCTGTGTTTCTGGCTGTCAGACACCGTTGCTGGTGAGGAGGAAATAGCTGGCAGCCACCTGAGGTCCCAGGCTTCTCAGAACTTCTGGGCTGCTGGAAAATGTGCTCAGGGAGGCTCACTTCCTCCTTGGGAGGGGGCTTCCTCTTTCTCAAGCCAGTTCAATTTCTACATGGTTCCCAAAGCCTGGGATTTCAGCTTCATTTCTAACCCTAATCCACCAAGGCGCTGGGACTCTGACAACTGGGGAAATACTGTGCGCCTCACTGCACAGGGAAGTCCAGCACCTAGCAAAAGAGCTGATGAAGAACCAGGGTGCACCAGAAAGAGATGCTATTCCAGACCCAACACCAAGCTGGCCCCACATTTTGAGTTATACATCCCAGCATGCAGCAAAAGCCATGATGCTCACCTTCCAGAGACACAGCACGGCTTCATGGGGTTTGGAGCCCTAGTTACACAGTGAATTCCAAGGCTCTATAACCCTTAAAGGGGCTTTGTTTCTTTCCTTGATTACATTACTAAGTAATGCACTTGAGGGCTTTGAATATTTATAACCTTCGCCCCTTGTCTATACCATTTCCTCAGCCTGAAAATCACCCCCCTCCTTGACCTTCCACAGCCATAGGCCACGCGTCCCTCAGAGCACAGTGGGAACCTGGCCTCTCCCAAGGGCCTTCCCTGCATCCCTGCGCCCCTCAGCTCCCACCGCAGACTGCTGGCCCTTGGTTACAGTGCCAGCTTCTCTGCTCTGTCTTACCTAAGGCACCACCTCCACACCTACCCCCAATGGGAAGGTCTCCAAAGGCAGAGGCACTGATTTCATCATCACAGCCAAGGTTCCTTACAGACAGAGGTGGGACACAGCAAATGTGAGGCCAAGAAACAAGGGTGGACCCTCAGGACTACTGAAAGAGGCTGGCTCAAGTCCTCAAATCACGAGCCATAAAAAGAGTTCCAGCACAACTGGCGATGACAACACTCACACAGACCCCTGTCTGTTTCTAGAGGTTGAGCAATAGGGGGACAAAAGGACACCTGCCTGTGAGAGGGCCCTGCTCTGCCCCTACAGACACATCTACGCTGGCAAAGCAAGGTGTTCTGCTCAGAAGAAGGGACACAGCTTTTGCTGGTTTACACAACACAGGCGACGTGCTGAGCTGAGATCGTGGACCTCTGCAGGGCAGCGTCACTCCCAAAGCTTGGGAATGAAGAGGATAAGAGTCGGGCAGTCTGCCTTGTCGTGGCCCTGCCGCAGGGGCAGAAGCTCCAGGAAGGCCGCAGGACTCTGGCTCCAATGCCTGGGATGGAGCTGCACCAAAGATGCGCAGACACTCCTTACACATAATCACAGGGAGGACGTGTCACGGGTGTGGAGTGCATGTGAACATCCACTTATAAACTCTCATCTCGTATTCAATGAACCTCGCCTAGAGATCTCCCCGGTTTCCTCACCCTCAGGGGGTGACCCCCAGGCTCTTCCTTGAGGTGGCAGTGGGTGTGGCCTGGGAAGTGGGAAGCGGGGCGGGGTACAGCCTGCACGCACTGCCCCCCCATTAGCACACAGGACTGAGTTGAGCATATACCCCTGGTAACAGGAAACTCCCACTCTCCGCCGAAGCACAGACTCAGAGTCCCATTCTGTTAGGGATCCTCTACACCACAGGTCCCGACCTCAGCTTCCCCACTCCACTTCTGAGGGAGGGGGCACCCATCGGCCTGTCCATCCTCCCCAGTTTGACCTGCCCTGACCTGCACACCCCTGGGGTTCCAGCTAAAGGATGAGCCTGTCACGTTCTCCCTGAGCCTTCATTTGCCCAAACTTCAGGTCCCTCTCATACCACTGCCTTGACTGAATGTTTTTCCTCACCTATCTCAGATCCATCCATCCTTCAAGGCCCAGGCCCCAAGACCCCACAGCTCTCTCCTAGCCCCCTGCAGCCAGCCCTTCTTCCCCTCAGCCCCTCAGTACACATCCTGCCTCCTCCTGCCACCTACACCTGTCTCCTTGTGCTGCATTCATGTGTGTGAGGGAATGCCTTCCCCAGAAGGAGCAAACCTCATCCTGCCAATTTCAGGGGTTCTCCCAGCATCCTGCACCCGGTCTTGCTGAATCAAGGGGCTGTGCTCCAGGTGGGACTGACTCAGCCATTTTCCATGGGTTGAGGCTTAACCTGGTTTCTCAGGCCTCTCAAGGGACAAGCACCCTCAGTCTCTACCACCAGCCAGTCTAGATTTGAAGCACATCACAAATGTCTTAGTCAACTCTGCTGCTGAATTTCAATTGCCTCTTTCACCTGAGGCACAGATGGCCTCGAGAAGAATGAGAGCCAGAAAAGTATATGGTAAAAGAAATGCTTTGGTTGACAATGGCAATTAATTCCAGTGGTAGAGGGAGTGTGGGGCCCCCCTACTGCAGAAAGGGTTTTACGGTGCCGAGTGTCCCACTGGGGAACTGGTAGGGTGGGCTCCGGAGCAGCCCCACTGACTCATGTGCCTCCTAACACTGCCCTGAATGGTGAGCTGGTGCATTCCCAGTCCCCTGATGGGCTAAGCTTTTGGCGCCCCATGGCTCGAGCAGCTGGGTGAGAGGGACTCTGCTCTTCAAGTTCCCTTCCAGCAGCCCTGCTCACTCTAGGGTGAAGGAACCTCGACTTCTCCTCCTCCAGTGCACAGCAAATACACATCTTATCAGGCCTCTGCCCGCATAGAAGGGGCTCACAGCACATCTGGCTGACCCCCCTCAACCATAAGGCCTCATGGTGAGATAGGCAGCTAAACCCCACACCTCAGGCAGAAATTCAGTCAGTGTAAAGGCACTGCTCTCTCTGATGTGCAGCAGGGGAACCAAGTGGCTGGAGGAAGGCCTCGGCCTCAGACTGGGTCACAGGGAGACACTGGCTGTGGGAGGGTGTCTGAACGGCACACAGGCTCTGTCGGGTCCAGAGTGGGAGGGGCACCACCTACTATTCCGTTTGGTTTCCTCGCCTCCTTCTTCTTCATTCTCAGGGTCAATGTCCTCTGCTTGGGTGATCCAATCCAAGTAGCCCTTTAGATCCTCTTCCAGCTGCTGCTTCTCCCGGAGCTTCTGGAAGTCTCCCCGGGCTTTAGCCTTCTCCCTTTCCTTTGAGAATTCTCTGAGGGAGGCAAAGAGAACAGCACACATCAGGACGTCCCCCGGGACCTGCGCCACAAGCCATCTGCCCTGCCGCACACAAGTCTTGTGGCGGGACACACAGCACCAAGGACAGCCACACGAGCACAGCAACAGGGGCCACACACGTGGACAGGACACAGGACAGTGCCTCCCCAAGCAAGACCGTGGGGGTCAGAGCTGCAGAGACCACGCCAACACATGCACCATCTCTAGAAAACGAACTCCCTTCAGGAGCTCTGTGCTCTCCAGGAGCTGAGGCCCCAAACCTCACAGGCTATCACGGCAGGCCTCCTGACCCCCAACCAGGGGCGTGGACTCACATTTCCCACCTCATCCATACCCTCCCCAGACAGCCAGCATCACACTTCAGAAAGAAAGGACCCAATAGGGCCAAGCTGTGGTCACAGAGGGCTTCTTCCATAAATTCAGGTTAACACTTAGCACTCCTAGTGTACTGACCCCTTTGTGTGAACCAAGAGCCCTGAGACCCCGGCCCCCCACCACCTGCAGGTTCCAGCCAGAGCACTGGACAGGGTCAGGGCAGACCCCACTGCACAGCCCTGTTCTCCCTTCCCAGACAGGAAATGGATCGCTGGTGAAAACCACTATTTCCCTTAACCCTTGCTTCTTGCCATGATCTTTTCCCCAAAAGTCTCCCCTGTAGGAGGTGAAAAGGCAGTACAATTTGTTGCCTATTCATGGGCACACCTGCCTGGAAAGGTTCTGGCAGACTGTCAATGTTCCCAACTGTTCATCATTTACTCTACCTTTCATGTCCGCAGGCCTATATCTCTGCGTATGTACAGAATCCCACATTCGCTCAGGCAAGTCGGAGAGTCAGGTGGTTGATTACCCAATTTTCATATACAAGGGACCATCTATCTGCATTTCCAACAGTGAATCGTAAGAGGAGCCAAGTTATGCATGTTACGGATTTAGTAAGTACGATTAAAGAGCAGCTAAGAAAGCAGGTGACGTTACAGGCAGTGCAACTTCTGCACACAGACCCCGGGATTCTGACGGACACTACATCTGTCTTCCTTCCAATCCAAAGCTGGCAAATCTCCCTCTCAGGGATCTCATTAATCTTACCCAACCAGACCGATGAAGGGAGGTCACCTGCTTACATAAAAAGCCAACCTCTACTTTCTCTCCTCCTTCCCACTCTCCACTCTGGACTGTCGAGGGGCTGAGCAGATGCTTGAACACCCAGGGACACTGATACTTCAGGTAAGACACTGGAAGCCTCGCCGAGGTGCCACCCTCTGTCCCCAGATAGAAAGGACACCCTCATTGTCCCCAAATCCCCCACTTTTCAGACACCCCAGGATCTGTCCTTGGCTCTGTTAGGGCTGGTCCTTCCCACCTTCACTCTCTGGGAAGTGAGGAGGCCAGGCTGTGGGGCACCCAGAGCAGGGGAGCTGACTCCAAGGGGTCCATGAAGCTGATCAAGGCCCAGAGACGCTTTCTGCACTCCCAGCCCAGGGCCCTTCCTCCCGGAGAGAACATCTTCCCATCTCAAAATAGAAAGGCTTTTGCAGGCATGTTGTCACTCACAGAAACCACACCCAGAGCCTTGGCTTCCTGAGAGATAGGACAAGCGTAACTGTCCTGGGTAGTTCACCAGATGACTCTGAACTCTGAGAATGTCACATGCAAACCAAAATCTCACGTGGAGGCCCTGGAGTGTCACATGTCAACATGAAGATGCATCATGTCGTCTGTTTTTTTTTTTTTATGTCGTCTGTTTTCTTAAATACATTGTAAAGACCAAGTCTGTGGGCCTTCAATTCTGTTGCTTACCAAAAATATCCCAGAAAAAATCTTTTTGCATGTTTTGGTTCTGAACTTAGAGTACTCAATTCACATCACATACGACAGGGTCTTCTTATTTTGGTTACATATCTGATCTGAATTCTTGAAAAAAAAAATACTAAAATAACGGAAGAGTTATCCTTAAGTTTCACAGGGAACTTTGCTTTAATATCTTCCTTTATGAAGCTTTTTTAAACATTAGAAATACAAAAAACAAATCCATTCTAACAAGTTGTATCACTGTTGTACATTCTTGGTTGCTGGGGCACAGCAAGGCATGCCCAGGTAAGATCCTACTACGAATTAAAATTTCAGAGAATAGAACACACTGCCAAGTCCTCACTTTTAGCCCGTTTATATTAAATAATAATCACTATTATAACTGTTCATATAACAAAACAGTTAATATAAATGGTCTGAATTGATCTGAGACAGTCCCTTTAGAATGACCTAGTACTTAGCAGGCAAATAACATTTGCTGATATGGACAGAACTGAGATCTACAAGGCATGCATCTCCTCCTGTCAGCCATGAGCTGCAGAAGAGGAGGTGCAGGGACATGAGGGCTCTGGGATAATCTCAGCTGGCCTGCTGGTCCTCCCAGACCATGCTGGGCTCTAAGTCTGAGGATCTGGATTCTAGGCCCCTCTCTGTCACTTTCCTTTTCTGAGCTTCAGTTTCTTCACCTGCAAAGCAGACATGATACTTAATCCCTGTGAGACAGGAGAACAGGTAAGACGTTCAATAAAATGCTATTGTGAAAATCAGAAAGCACTGTACCAATGTGAAGTTCAAATGTATCACAGTTGTTGAATCTGGGAATAAAAGGCCACTGGAGGAGGTTTCTCAAATACCAAAAGGAGAAAACTTGCAAACCGCTCTGAATGGGCTCTAAGCTGCATGATGCCAGCAAAACTGGGAGAAGCACAAAAGGACACACGGGATCCTAGGGCTCAGAGTGACCTCGATAAGCCAGCAAGCGCCCTACCAGCCCTGCACCACTATCTGCTCAGTGGAAAATAACTCATTCCTGTCACAACAAACCCTACATTCCAGAAAATCTCGCCTGAGTCCAATGAATCTTTATCACCCTCAGTGGCTGACGAAAAAGACAGTTTTCCATTTGCATCAGAATTCATCATTCTAGAACCCTATGACTAAGGGATTAAATAATAGTCACTATTATAAAAGTTAATTTGACAAAGCTATTGGTAGAAACCATCCGGCTTTCACAAGTGACTAGAGACCTGACAACTCACATGTGATAGAAGCCTACCTGTTCCAGATTAGAAGGGGAAAAAAAAAAGATTTTAAGCAGTGCTTGGACAAAAAAGCACATATATTGTGCCATTCCCCTTGGATGCAAAAGAAGAGGAAACAAGGAAATACGAATATTACCACAGGAAGTATCTGAAGGATGAAGCACAAAATAAGGTCAAAGAGGGCTTCTTCCATAAATTCAGGTTAACACTTAGCACTCCTAGTGTACTGACCCCTTTGTGTGAACCAAGAGCCCTGAGACCCCGGCCCCCCACCACCTGCAGGTTCCAGCCAGAGCACTGGACAGGGTCAGGGCAGACCCCACTTCACAGCCCTGTTCTCCCTTCCCAGACAGGAAATGGATCGCTGGTGAAAACCACTATTTCCCTTAACCCTTACTTCTTGCCGTCTCCTTTGCCGGGGACAAAGGGAGCAGAGGGAGTAAAGTAGGAGTGATACCAAATATACTTTTTTCTATAATTTGGACATTTGGAATCATTTTACTGTTCTACACGTTAAATTTTTAAATTACACCAACAATGTTGGGATGGGGGAAAAATAGCTCTAAAACAGAAGTGAACTGAAACAAATGAATCTGGTTGTACTTCAAAGGAACACCACAACCACCCTGAAGAAGAAAGATAAAACTAGTTCAAGTAGCTCATGAACATGTGACTGCATCCTCCCGATTGTGGGCAGGACTGGAGTGAGGGTGGAACCACAGACAAATGCTGAGCTCTTCTTAGTCGGCTTGGTTTTCTGTAGCAATATGGATGGTATCATGCTGAAACTATTTTAGATGTATTACAGGATTTAGCAAATGAGTTAATGTGTCACTGCTGTTGGGAGCCAGGGTTCTCCCTATGGAAGGGATATAGAAAGATGAGAGGCAGAAGATGAAAGAACCCTCTGGGTACTGATGTGATTCATGACTTCTAAAGATGTAGGCATGTGACTACATGTATAAAGGTAAGGATGTGTATGTAAATGCATGAACCTCTTAGCTCTGTTGGAAGTATCTAGAAACAAAGAAATCCCCCCCGTAGCTATGAGCACACCTGGCACCCAGATCTCGGGCTCCAATACCATTTCCTGTTAAAGGGACAAGCAGTCTTTCGACAAATGGCTGATTCCAAGGCTGGGGCAGGGTAGATACAGGACTAAGAAAGTAAGAAAGTGCTAAACACAAAGCAAAACACACAAAAAACACCAGCCAAAAAATATTATGATGGGGGCATGAGAAGCACCTCCCACTGGCCAGATCTGGGATAATCTGAACCTCCAAATAACTAAAAACAGTAAGACATTTTTAAATATTTAAAAATAAGTCAGTCCACACCCCTTACAAATTAAAAAGCAAATGAGATAAAATATTAATAAAATATTCATAATAAATGAATTAGAGTAAAGGACACATGGATTACTCACTAAGCTATTCTTATTCCTACAACTTTTCTGTACATTTGAAATTACTTCCCAAACAAAAACTTTTTCAAAGTGTTTAGAAAATGTAACCATACTAATCAAATGCCAGTTTATGTTGTTTTACATTCATTTCAGCTCACCAGGTAGACTGGAGGCTCCTCATGGGAATGGACAATGCTATCCATCTCCTAAGTTTTCCTTTCCTCGTCTCTGCTCCCCTGTGGAGGCCCCTTCAAGCAAGCATGGAGACTAGGTACAAAAAAAATACCACACACAACAAAATGAGCCCTACTCCTGAAGAGGCCAGAATGCCTCAGGACAGAGAGCCCATGGTTCCTGGGATCACTCATAAGCCTGAAATAAGTGTATATTTTAAAAAGTTGAAGTATAGTTCATTTACAATGTTGTGTGAGTTTCAGGTATACAGCAAAGTGATTCAGTTATTTTATATATTCTTTTTCAGATTCTTTTCCGCTATAG